AACCAAGTGTCCCGGAAATTATGAACATTTCTTTCACCACAAGTGGCTCGTCTCATGACATCTCCCATCATGATGTATTCTCTCAAATCAAGTTTGTTAGAAAAGTTTGGCATAACAGACTTAGCTCCAATTTATTTGTCGATTTCCTCAATTAAGTTAAGATATTTTTGTAGTATCATTTGAATGCCTAAATAGGTAAACGATATTTTGTTTATCTTATCTCTTTCTTTTGTAATAAGAAAAAGTATGGTTTGTTATCCAGAAGTTGTCTTTTGCGTTAACATATAAACACTGTGATACTTTTTATTTCATACACTATGCCGTTTGCATAATCCTTGGTAAACACTTCGCTGATATAATGCATTTGTCGTTTTGCTAAAAAAATTGCTGTACTCATATAAACCATTATTCACTGTAATAAAGTAAAATAAAGTAGCAGGCAGTATCACTAATATAGACTCTGTTGTCATTTACACAGATGTTTACCTCAGTAAGGTGTTCTTGTGGATGTACACTAAGCGACGTTATATCGATCGAAGAGTAAATTTTATACGAAAAGCAATATTCTGTCCTCAGAAGTAATATAAATGTCAGCACTCAATCTATGTTTTGCTAACGTCTTACGCACGTGTCTAAGTTTACATTGTATATGGATTTTGATTTCAACGAGTCCTTGACATTTAGAAAAATTTAAGTGCTCGTCAAAACATTTTATCTCACCAACGGGACAAGTGTGTTGTCGAATTAGCTTACAGAGCTTTCCAAAGATGATGTTACCCAAACTGCTGGTAGGTAACACTAACGCTTGTGAATGGAATAACAAGTCTATCCCGGTAACACTGACAGTTCGCTATCACTCTCCTTAAAAACACAAGAGAATACTTAAGTGTCGATAAAACGTTGACTAAACTCAGCACGGAGATAAAAATAGGGCTAAATATCAACAACGGGGATTTTAGCACGGAGATTAAACGGCCAAATATCAACAACGGAGATATTAGCACGGAGATAAAACAGGGCCAAATATCAACAACGGAGATATTAGCACGGAGATAAAATAGGGGATCACCCGTCTTTAGATGACCTTAGATATCGGATCACCCACCCCCAAACGACATCAGACATCGAGTCACCCGTCCATAGATGACCTGAGATATCGGATCACCCATCCCCAAACGACATCAGACATCGAGTCACCTGTCCATAGATGACCTTAGATATCGAATCACCCATCCCCAAACGACATCAGACATTGAGTTACCGGTCCATAAATGACCTTAGATATCGGATCACCCATCCCCAAACGACATCAGACATCGAGTCACCTGTCTATAGATGACCTTAGCCTTCGGGTCACACGTCCATAGATGACCTTAGACATCGGATCAACCGTCTTCAAACGACATTAGACATCGGGTCACCTGTCCGGAGACCACCTTTGACATCGGGTCACCTGCTCTGAGACCACCTTCAACATCGGGGCACCCGTCCTCATATGACCTAATACATTGGGTCACCCGTCCTCATATGACCTAAGACATTGGGTCACTCGTCTTCAGATGAACCTAGCAGCTACGAGGACGTTAACATATGACGAAAAAAACCCCATCAGTTTGACTTAACTGAAGTAAACGTTATTTATTTTAAACAACTGACGTGTTCCTAGATTGCCGTATGGATTCCGATTGCCTAACACAATTTCACCTTAATCTAAATTACAATTTCAATAAAATCTAATTGCTTGTGAACCAATGTAGTTATTCGAAACGGCCGAAAACGATTCATTTAAAGCCTAACTCGAATTAGATTGAAACGATTTGGGTCCAAATTCATGGTTATCAATCTGTAACAACACCAAATAAGTTTATGTTTTGTTTTGTTGACAAGTGAAATAATCTGACAACTGTCAGCAGTGAAGACTGTCCATCTGTCTGATTTTCACGATTCAGTAGCTAATCAGAAAACAGTGAAGAACAAACAAAACGTATTAATCATACAGTGGCGGATCCAGAGACCTATCTGGGGGGGGG